ATATATATATATATATATTCAATACACCTTTTTTTTTAATTATTATTATTTCTGGTTACGCTATTTGTTTCTACGTTTGACGAAATTTGTGGTCACTACAACTCTAGTGATCCCGATGGCTGCACATTCATATGTAGTAGCTGACGTACATGAATGTATTGAAATAGCATATCAGTTACATATTATTTTCACTAGCAAATTTACAAAACATATTTCAATATATTCTCTGCATTTTATTACATATATTTTACTTTTATACGATGCGGTTACCTATACATGTGTGGTGTTGTTTCCGACATCAGAGTTCAGTCTGATCATTATCACATAGGTCAAGCTGTTGCTGCAGCAGAATAGCCATTACTTCATCGTTATCGTCACCATCAGCATCATCATCATCACTATCAGTGTTGACATTTCCTACATTTCCATGCACCCATGGGAAAAAAATCAATCAAATGTTAAAATACCACAGAGAGCAAGAACTTTGTATGGAGACAGACTCTTAAGCTTCACACGAACCAGATTTGCCAATGACTTCATGAGGCTAAATGATGAATATCATTGGAAAACACAACAGCTAAATGAATCTAATGAAGCACCTCATGCCAAACTGTGGGTTATGATACATAATTCTTATGCTTACAGGTATATATATAACAAAGCACATTAATGTAATGCTACCAACACATGCCTTCAAATAGGAAACACATTTGTAACTGCTTCTCTGAATAAACATATACTATGTAAAGTAACCATATGATGTATGTATTTAGTGTGTAATATATTGCCATATATCGTAGGGGCTATTGTTATTGAGGCTTTCTTGCTAAGTGGCAGCACCCTTCAGGAGGCAACACTGGTTTTCAGCGTTATTGGTTGCTGCAATATTGGTTTTTGGCACATGGCATGCTCTGTACCAATTACAATACAGTATTTTTAGCTCATCTGACATAGTCAGATGCAGCTTGTAGAATCGCATGAGCGTGCGTCCGTCCGTCCGTCCGAGCGTGCGTGCGTTCGTCAACAGCAACAGTTGGGCACAAATCTAAACCGCTCGCCGTACGGATTCGAAAGTCGGGACGTGGGGGGGTAATCCGAAAACGAGTTGGGATGTCGAAGCTGTGGGTCAAAGGTCAAAAGTCAAGAGGTAAAAGAAGGGGAAACATTCACTCCTTAACTTAAGGTATAGGGAGGAAATGCAGAATTGCAGCACAAATCTAAACGGCTCGACCTAGGCTCGTGATAGTCGGTGTATAGCACCAGTGTAGGAGAAGCCATCACTGTGCCAAAATGGGAGGTAACAGGTCAAAGGTCAATTAGATTTTAGACATTTTCTGAGGACATGGTCTGACGGAGCGATTGAAAAACTTTTTTGTTTCAGCG